AAAAAAAAAAGAAAAAGAAGTACCCTTGATGTTGGGGTGAGGGGACACTGGTGGGTGGACAGGACTCAAAAACAAGCACGCAGCCAGGTCACATGGCCTTGGAGGGGACCTGCAGTGGGTCATTTACAGCCGCTCTGTGCTCTGGGTTCGTGCACACTGGTCTCTGACGTCGTATGATTTGCTTTCCCCCAAAGACGCAGAGGGATAAAATGCACCCTGTCCACATGGCTTTCTCCCACCCCATTCCTGGACCCACAGGACAGCTGACCTGGCTGCCAGGCTGTGGCGCTGCAGGCTTGGTGGGCTGTCCTCAGCGTCAGCCTGGGCGATGTGTAGGGCCACGGTGGACACCTGCGAGAAGCTGCCCTCTTCTGAGCTCTGAGAGCCACGTGGGGCCATGCAGGCCTCCTCTTCCTCCTGGCGGGGAACAGGAGAGGCAGCCGGGCCAGAAACCACCAGTCGCTGCCCTCAGCCCTCGCCCCTGCACTTGGGACTGCTTGGGCTCCTGAGCCCTGAAATAGGGTCCTAACAGACCATGCGGGCACGTGAGTGCTCCAAGAAGGAATCGAGCTCGTGCAGAAGCCAGCACACTTCAGCCGTCACGACAGGTAAGGGGTCAAGGTAGCAGAATGCCGGCTGTGCCAACCTCACCAAATTCTCCCAACGGCCCTTCCAGGTACCTCGTTTACGGATAAGGCAGGTAGGGCAGGCCGGGGCTCGGCCGGATCATCTGTCCTCCAGCCCCCGGCTGAGCCTGCAGCCTCAGGAACTGGGGCCAGCACTTCCTACCTTCTCTGGATGGAACTAGAGCCACAGCACCCATCCCAGTCCCTAGGCCTGGGCAACAGGCCGCTCCCGGGTCCTTGCTCCAGGCCCCACTTTGAGCTGGGTCACGAGCAGGTCCATCCCCCACCCTGGAGGAGCACCACGTGGGGAGGGAGAGACGTCAGGACACACAGGTCAGGGGTCCCTGTGCTCAGTGGAGTGGGGGACAGAACCGGGACCAGCTGAAGGAATGCATCATGATGATGCCAGCGAGATGGGGCTGCCTCACAGGCCAGTGGGGACCAGCCTAGGATTCCCCTTGGGCAGGGACAGGCTCTGACTATCCACACAGCATCTGGAACAGGCAGCGTAGGTGTGCAGTGGGCGTGTGCTCAACAGAAAGATGCAAGGGTGTGGGGACGAGGTGTGGGTAGGGGCCCAGGACCGCACCACCCAAGCCTAGACGTGGGCAGAGCCTAGAGGGGCTTGGAGGGGCAGCTGGGGCCAGGGACCCAGGGCAGGGGCCAAAGGCCACAGTAGAACAGGGTGGGGAAGGGGCTCACTTGCAGGCCCCCGCCCTGGAGCAGGTCCCCCAGGATCTCCACCAGCTCCGAGAACGCAGGTCTCGCCTTGGGGTCTCCAGACCAGCAGTTCAGCATGATACGGCGTCTGCAGGATCACGTGGGCTGCTGGACCGCGTGCACCCCACCCCCGCCCCAGCACCTTCAGTCCCCCAGCCTTCCTGGGCCCTCTCACCCACTCTGCCCTCCTCCTGACACGTGCCCCACCCTTGTCCGGCTACCCTCGTTCCTCCTTCAAGTGTTAGCCCAGCGTCACCTCCTGGTGATGCTTTCCCTGAACACCCGGTTCTGTCTGTTCCGACAGCACCCGGCCTTCCCTCCTGGTGCCCGTTGCAGCTATGCCACAGACTACCCGTGTGTCTTGAGGGTGGTGCCCAGGCCTGTCCTACTGGCCCTGGCTTCCCTGATGCCACCTTCTCAAGGCCACAATCCCCACGCCCCCTATGCTTACTGCCCCCAACACCTGCAGGGCCATGGGGAGGCTCACATGGCAGGAGTGGCCAGCTCCGGGGCCCTCATCCTCGTGCCGTCTCTCAGCCGCTGGCAGAACTCCTCATTGATCTGCACCCCAGGGTATGGGGAGGCCCCTGACAACAAGAAGGGGAGGTGGGTGGGGAACAAGCCCCCCCAAGTCACCCCGTCTGTCCCTTCCCCCATCCCCGTGGTGGGGTGGAGACGGCTCATCCCATCCTGCTCTACCCCGGACCCGGGCAGGTCGCGGCCCTCCCCAGTTCAAGTTCTTCATCTGATTAAAAGAGGACTGTGCCGCCTGCTTGCTAGGGGTGCCAAGAGCATCCACGCACTGGCAACATGGTAGACATCATGGATACCGGATCATCGTGGCAGGGGAGCCGCCTGTGGTCAGTTTCAACAAATCCTCTCTCGCCTCTCACTGCTTCTGATGCTCTCTGCCAGCCCTGCTGCTCCCAGTCCTGGATCGATGACCTCCCTCCTTGGGCCGCTCTGGCTGCCCCAAGCTCTCGCGCCTCCTACACTCTTCCTGCTCCTTTAGTTTCCGTAGTAGCATGTATCACTGTTGCCACTTGCTGACGTTTTAAGTTATTCAAGTTCACTGCCCTACCCTGGCCTGGAGGCTTCATCATGCCTGCAGCGGGGCCTGCGCTCCCACATGGAGCTCCTGCAGTAGGCACGTCCGCAGACTGGGCCCTGCGTTCCCTCTGGGGCTGCCACGTGAACAGGCTCAGCCCTGGCCCAGGCTTCAGCGTGCATCCCACAGAGGGTGGCCCACATTGGAGGCAAAGTCCTCTCGGAGGCTGGGCCAGGCTGGGGAGAGGTGGGGGGCTCTTGGTGGCCCACAAAGCCCCTGCTTCAGAACGACCTGGCACATACCTCCAGGTGCCCAGTCCCTTACTCCAGCAGGGCTGGTCATGTAACCTGCCACCAGTGACCTCGCCTCCTCTCCCCACCGGCACCCCGTCCTGCACTCACCCAGAGAGAAGATCTCCCAGAGCAGCACCCCAAAGGACCACACGTCACTCTGCGTGGTGTACACCTTGTCAAAGATGCTTTCAGGGGCCATCCACTTCAGTGGCAGCCGGGCCTGGGGAGGCGGAGGGAAGCATGTCCCACGGTGGATAGGAGGAGAGGGCTGAGGCCAGGCGCTCTGGCACCCCCTATCAGGGCCCTCTGCCTGGGTGGAAGGTGCCTCCCTGCTGCTGTTCTCCTGGATCTGCCGGGGACCCCTCTTTCCCTGAGGTCTCAGGGGAGGGGTATCGGGGGAGACCGCAGGCCTTCTTCCAGCCCTAGACCCCCAACCCAGCCTCCTGATGAAACGCACCCCTGCACACTCTCACCATCTCCCCTGACAAGCACGTTCCATCTACTCACTGTCCCTACCCTAGAAGCTGGGCCATCACTCCCGACGCCCTCCTCCTGGGCTCCTGAGGCATCTCCGCCACCAGCTCTGTCTCCCTCTCATGGTCTCTACCTGGGGGCCCTGAGGGCCAGGGCCCTTCTGGACTGGCCTCTACCTCCACCCCAGCACCCCTACTCCCCTCTCTTCCCAGCCTGTGGTGTCAGGGGAGTTTCTGTAAGTGCACACCTGATCCTTCCCTCCAACCAGCAGCCACACTGGGCTGGATGGCCCATCACGCCCAGGCCCTGGGCCCATCCTGCTCCTCCACCTCTCTCTGACACCTTTCCTCTCCCAGGGGCGGAACCCTGACCCGCCTTGGAGGCTCATCCAGGCACCTGCTGCCCTGCCTGAGCTCCACTCATGAGACACGCTCCGCCTCCTGGGTTCCATGTACTCCACCAAGCTGGTCCATCTCTAGGACAGACGCCACGCAATGCCTTGCACACACAGGCCCCACAGGGCAGGCCCTGGGAGTCAAGGCCCACTGCATGGACCACGGCACTGGGCAAAGCACAAGCTCCAATCGGAGCACTGGGGCCCCACTTGTCAACTCCCATCTCCACTTCCTTGCCCCAGGATGCCTAAGTTGTGGGGGGGGGTCACTAGGGTCCCCTGGGGGCAGGGAGTCCCCCAGCAGCTGGGCAGGTGGCTGGCCAACCAAGGAGCCCACATCACCCTGTGCCATCACTCCCTCTCCTGGACAGGCAGTCTGTGGTCCCACCCCATCACCTATTTCGCCCCACATTCCCTCTCCTCAATGGCCTGCACTCACGCTGCCCTTGCGGACGTAATCAGGGTCTTTGTAGATGTCCCGGGCAAGGCCAAAGTCACAGATCTTCACCACGTCGCTTTCTGACAGCAGAATGTTCCGAGCAGCCAGGTCTCTGTGGATGCACTGGGGTGCAGGGAGGTGCAAGGGGGGCTGTCAGTGCAGGCCCCTGGGGTAACACCCACACCCAAAACTCCAGGGTGCCCAAGCAGCGGGGACCGTGGGGGTGCCCTGCCTGTGGGGAAGGATTTCTGTCCATCTCCGGGACTCATCATGGAGACAGCTTGTGGAATTGTGGGGAAGCAGAGAAAGTCGTGGATCAGACAGACTCTGCTGCTGACCAGCCAAGAGACTTTGGGAGGCCACGTCCCTGCTTTGGGCAGTTTCCTCCTCTGCAAAGTGGGAGAGATGCTAATGGACCTCAGAGCCCCTGCAGGGTGAAGTCTGAACCAAGCACTTCTTGGTGACTGGTGGGGATGCACCACCCTTTCCCCATCTGCAGGGCCTTCAGAGGAAGCTCACCTTTCGGGAAGCCAGGAACTCCATCCCTCTGGCCACCTGGAAGCTGTAGCAGACAAGATCTTCCATGGTCAGCGGGCTCAGCCACAGGTCCTCAGCTGCACAGCCGGGCGAGGTGGGCTCAGGAGGCGCCTCCGCCACCGCCTTCATCCACCCAGCCCCAGGGAGCAGCTAACAAGCATTTCAGCCCCTCTCCTGCCCCCTCAGCCTCCGGAACACCCACGTCCTACTCCCAGAGCAGTAAATACTGTTGCTCTGTGGGGCTTGGCACCTGCTGCTTGGCCCTCAACTGCCTGCCTGGTCTGCAGGGCAATTTCCTATTCAGCCTGTGATGACCCAGTCAATCGTGGAACGCCTGTGTGAAAATTGTCCCCAGGTGTCTTCCCTTCCTAAGGCAGAGCCCATTCCACACTCTCCCATGAAAGCCCCCACCGAGGGCCCCAGGCTGGGTTTCCCTAGGGTGCCTGATCATGGTATGTAACCGGGCCTGTCAGGCACTAGGAAAGGGGAAGAAGCCAGGCTCTAACCGTCTTGGTCTGGAGAAGCTCGCCTCGCTCCGCCCTCGTTCTTCGGGAACCGAGCAAAGAGGACCCTGTCGCTGCTCCCTGGCCTCCGATCCAGCCTGGCCAGCTCCACCATGGCGCGGATGCGTCGGCGCTGCTCGGGAGACTTCTCCTGCGGATGCATGAAGCTGGCTCGAGGGCGCCCAGGTGTCCACGGCAGAGGCGCCTCCACTCCCCTGCCGCCCGTGGCGCCCGGCGGGCCGCGCACTCACTGCGTAGGGGCTGAAGGTCTCCCGCTTGGCGCGCAGGAAGTTGGAGAGGTTGCCGTACTTGCAGTACTCCACGATCACCATGAGGGGCCCTGCGGCGGGACGGGGCAGGCCGTGCGTTCGGAACCCGGGACGCGCTGCGGGCGCGCTCCGCATTTGCACCCGCGCTCCGCATTTGCACCCGCGCCCCCGCGGGCCTCCCAGGCCGCGCCCTGAGCCCAGGGTCTCGCCGTCCCGGCGGGCCGCCCCGCTGCGTACCCTTGGGCTTGGTGCACGCCCCCAGGAGGTTGACCACGTTGAGGTGGTTCCCGATGTGAATCAGGATCTTGAGCTCCGACATCAGCGCGCGGTGCTCGCTGGCTGTGGCGCCCTCTGGAGGGGACACAGGCCTCGCGTCGGCCCCAATCCGGGCACGGCCCCCTTTCCCGCCACGGGCTGCTTAGCTAAGGCACAGCCAGCACTCTGGGCACGGGGAGGGGTACCAAGGCCCCAGGACATCCTGCTGGCCCCACTGAGGCAGGGGGTTCGGGTGGTACCTTGGCTCTGACTCCCGCAGCCTCCCTGTAGAATCTTGGATGAGACTGGCTCCCAGCCTCAGTTTCCCTTCCTGAGTTGCCATGCCACCGGCCCACCCAGAGCTGCTGCTCCTCACTAGCTAGGCTGCCCCTTTCGCCCGCAGACCCCACACCTTTCAGCATTTTCACGGCCACGGTGTCACAGCTGCTGCCCTTGTTGATGCCGAAAGCAGAGGCTTCCACCACCTTCCCGAAGGCGCCGTAGCCGAGCACTCTCCCTGTCGGGGCAGGGAGCAAGTTGCAGGTGAGCTGTATGGGGTGAGGGTGGAGACAGGTGGGCAGCAGGGGAGCGCCGTCCAGAGGTCCAGGAGGACAGGCCTGGCAGCAGGAGGAGCGTGGGGAGCCTCTCTGCCAAACAGGAAGAGCGTGGGAGCCACAGCGGGAAGAGAGGGAGAGGGTGGACAGGAAGCCGCGCATCCTCCCGGGTAGGTGTGACAGATCCACCCTGCTCAGGGTGGCAGCAGGTGACCTCGGGGAGCCTGGGAACTGGGAACCCTGGCTAAGGCTCTGGTTACCCACGCCCAGAGGGGCAGGTCAGGCCAGGCAGAACTTCCTGGTGGGAGTTTCGAGAATGGAGGGATTCAGGAACTCCAGCCTGCAGCAGGTGCGCCGGGCAGGGGGTGTGGGTTGGGCAGGCTGGTGCTGGCCTCACCCAGGTGCAGCCGCTCTCGGGGGAACTCCCACTGGCTGGCGTCGTAGGACAGGTATTCGCATTGCTCCTCCAGAGGCACCTCCCCGGGGTCCATGATGATGGACAGGTAGCCCGTCTTGATGTCTGCGTGGGCCGGCTGCGGGGACGGGACAGGGAGGAGTGGGGCAGCTCACTGACTTGGCCGTACCACTGTGACTGGGGCAGAACTTTGCCCAGGACAGATGGCACGTCCTGCGGGGCTCTCAGTCAAGGAGGGGACGGAGTAACAGGCAGACCTCTGCGGGGTTGGAGCCCAGGGTGGAGGGCTGCGAGGCTACCCAGGAGACAAGGCTGCCAGGTCAACTAGGGCGGGCACCTTATTCTTTATCTTAAGGGCGGCCAGGGTGGGGGAGTCCTGAGAGAGACCCCACCAGGAGAGGGGAGGGACACTCACCCTCCTCATGTTACAGAAGATGAGGAGGAGGAGGACCCAGAAGAAGACAGCGATGACCCCGGTACCGACAAGGATCACGATCTCCATGCTGCCCTTATCTTCAGAGCCTGCGTGGGCAGAAAGGGGCCGGCGTGTGTGTGTGTGTGTGTGTGTGTGTGTGGCAGAGGGTGCACTGCAGGCAGCGCCGCTTCTGGTGGGCACGACTTGCCCGCAGTGGCCACAAGAAGGCGCTGACTGGGGGCAGGAAGGGGGTTGAGGGGTGCAGGGTGAGGCCGGACCTTCCACGGCCACGCTGGCGGAGGAGTTGACGCAGCCCTTGGCGTTGCACACGCTGCACAGATAGCGACCCGCATCCTCCTCGCGCACGCGCTGGATGCTCAGCTTCTGGTTGGAGTCCGCCAAGTCGACTCCTGCAGGGGGTGGGGTGGAGGGGCGGGTCCACCTGGGTTTGGGGTCGTTGGCCTCGCGGGCCTCCGGACCTGCCCTTCGCCCGGGCCACCCTCCCTACCAGACTTTTCCTCCAGCAGCCTCTCGTCTTTGTACCACACGATGCTGGGCGCGTGCGCTCCGGCCACCAAGCACTGCATCTCCAGGGAGTCGCTCACGTTCACCAGGAGGTCGGTCAAGTTCTGCGTGAGCCGAGGGGCCTCCAGGGCTGGGGGCAGGGGTTGAGAAGGAACTAAGTGGAGTTGCACTTAGCAGGAGGACCCTCTTTGGGCTGGGAGCAGAGGGAGGGAAGGATCCCCGAAAGCCGGACTCAGGGTTTGTGCGCCGGGCAGGAGCGCTGCGCGTCTCCGCAGGGGGAGGCGGATAGTTAGGAGGGGGCGCTCCTGCAGGCCAGGGCCGTGAATAGACGTCCCAGGGGCGAGCCACGCCGGGGCAAAAGCAGAGGCAGCTTCGGCTAGAAGAGAGCGAGTCCCCGCCCTCCCCGCGGCCAGCCTCACCCTGCACCGACAGGTACTTCTTGTGGCAGTGCTTGTCATGGCTGCGCCGGTCTTGCACTTCGCACACATAGTGGCCCTCATGCTCGGGCGTGACGCGGGGGATACTCAGGCTGAGCGTGGCGTGGCGCGCCCCAGGCGCCACCTCCTCCAGGCTGGCGGCCAGAGGGGTGGCGAACAGATGCACGTTCTTGCAGTCGAGCAGCAGCGGGTTCCCGTGCGCATCGTGCAGCGTGGACAGGTTGAGGCGGTACCAGCGCAGGTGCTCGTACTTGTAGCTGTCGGCTTGGCAGCTCAGGAGCACGGGCTGGCCCTCTAGTAGCTCCTCGGATGGCTTGGATTCGATGCTGAAGCCGTCGGGGATGGCTGTGGAGGGAGGAAGAAGGCCCGTGACACTGCCCTGGGAGTTTGCTCACCCATCCACCTGCCGCCCCGGGGTCTCCTGCCTCCTTCCCTCTCTCTCTCTCTCTCCTGGAGGAGCCCCAGCTGGACTGCTTGCCCCCACCCCCGAGAAGCCCAGGTCATCAGGAGTTCTGTGACCCCACTCAGTGAGACTTGAGCCCTCATTCTCTCCTGAAGCTTGCCACGGCCCACCCCATGTTCAGCCTGAAACAGTGTCTTCTTCCCTGGCTCTTCCCAGTGCCATGCGCCCATTTCCTTTTGCCTCTCTGGTCCCTTCTGGTCAGGCTCCTGTGGCCTCCCCAGCCCCCAAGTGTTCTCTGGCTCCATCTCTCTGCTGGTGCCCTGATTTACACTCTGGGACCCAGTGGCGTCTTCTCCTGGGCTCAGCTCTCCTGAGGTCACTAGCACATTTGAAAATCTGAGTAAGCCACAGATCTTCTCCCCAGAGCAAAATTCACACCAGTCACAAGGTCCCAGGGCTTGGGAAGGGGAGAGTGGGAGTGGGTATAGCTAGGAGGAGCTGCAGTGAGCCAAGGGCATCCTCGAGGGAGGAACCTCAGGGTTGGGGACAAAGGACACCATTCCATCCCAGTGCACCAGCACCCAGGCCCTATGCTGATAACCCTCAAATCTATTTTTCCTGTCTACAACTGGTGGGCCTTGGATCTCTCTCCTCACGGACCCCAGAAACTCAATGCGCCCAAACCTGCCCCCTCCTGACCCTGTACCCAGGCCTGCCCGCGATGGTCTGGTCACTCACTGGTCACATAGAAGTAGATGAGCCGCTCATCCTGGCCCACCTTGTTGGAGACCACACACTTGTACATGGCGGACACGTTGGCATTCTGGATCACCAGCTTGCTCACGGTCTGGGAGAGCACATGCAAAAGGATCCATTTCCTGCCCAAGTTCTCCCAACCTGGGCCCTCCCCTTCTGCAAGAAGGTCGCTGTGCCCACCACAGTCATGGGGGAAACTGAGGCTTTGGACTGGAGAAGACCGAAACTCACAGGACCAGGGATGGTGAGGCAGGGAAGAGAAGGCCTTGGGCAGCAGGGGGAGGCAGCTGCCCAGAAAAGTCAAAGGACAGTGCACGGGACTGCTGGCCTAGGCTGCAGTGACGTCACAGGGCAGCCTTTGGCAGGACCAGAGAGACCTCTGGCCGGGACTGGGCTCAGTCTGTGGCTATGCTGAGGGGCACCAGGGTCAGTCCAAGCCAGGGTGAGAATTCAGGCTGTGGTCACAGCAAAGGCCAGTCACTTCTGGATGG